TGTGTGTGTGTGTTATGCATGGGTAGTGCTGTTGTTGCAAACCTGTTCATCATGCAATCCGAGTGATCCTCAGTTGTTGCTGGGGACAGGCAGGTGCGGCAAACTCACTCACCCCATGTGTTTCGGGTCTTTCTGCTTGTTCCCTCTCGATTTTTGTATGGGCTCTGCGTGACAGGTTGCTTATGGTCCAGCAGGTACTTGTGAGTCGAGGTTACAGTGCTGGTTCCGACATGAGTGCCATTCTGTCAAGGGGCAAAGCCGAAATGTCGCAGGTGCTGGATGACCCGACGGCTTCTGTGGACAAGATTGGCAGGCTCCTGGGTGACTTGGTTGTCACTGCTGGTGAAATGATGGAAGCCTTGTCGACGGGAGCACGAAGCTCTGGCGCTACTTCAAGCCAGGGCATGGGAGGCGTTATGGCTGAGGCAGATATGATGACGAGGATGCTTGCACGCGCTCTGCAGCCAGAGGATTTGGTATTCAAACGCATGGTTGCAGCGATCTCCACGGCGGTCAGGTGGCTGGTACTCCTTGATGGAGGTAAGCGAGGGCCAGGTCATCGTCGAGCAGCCAATGCGCTCCAGCGAGCAGGGGCCACCCTGCTCATGGACAAGGTCGAGGAGTTGGCATCTGGTATCCGAAAGACAGCTAAGCTCAACGCCATTGTGTACGAGCCGTGGTACTGTGTGTGCTTGCCGTGAGCATGACAGCATTATGGAGAGCAGTGGGGAGAATGGTGACCGGTTTGCTGCCGAACGAATAATCGAGGAGCAGTCCATGGATCTTTCCATCGTTGCAGGAGAGGTGGATGTTGCGGACCTAGCTGGCAGCCTGAGATTGCTAAGCTCAACGCGCCTGTGTACGAGCCATGGTATCGTGTGTGCTTGCCGCGAGCATGCGAGCATTGTGGAGAGCAGTTGGGAGAGTGGTGACTGGCTTCAAGTTGGCAGGCTAAGGAACACGGCCACCTGTCGAATGAAATGATGGAGAAGCATTTCATGGATCTTTCCATCAGCAGAGAGGAGAGGCGGATGTTGCTGACCTAGCTGGCAGCCTGAGATTGTTAAGCTGATTGGGGAAGTGGTCGACAAGGTAAACAACCTTCCATCCCTTAAGGTATTTGCACCCGCGTCTTCGCCAGAAGAATCTCAGCTCTCATCTTTTGCACCCTTATGGGATTTCGACCCGCGTCTTCGCCAGAAGAATGTCAGCTCTCATCTTTTGCACCCGTATGGGATTTCGACCCGCGTCTTCGCCAGAAGAATGTCAGCTCTCATCTTTTGCACCCTTATGGGATTTGGACCCGCAAGTGCAAAAGTTAAGGGATGGTTGAACCCGTGGTCAACCCGTGTCTTCGCTGACCATGGGATTTGAACCCGTGTCTTCGCCAGAAGAATGTCAACGTCTGCACTATCGAGACCCAAGTGCATGACTGCTCTGACATGATGGTGGCAATGCGCACATGTTTATGTAAAGGAGTTTTGGGCTACAGATGTATGTGGAAGCGGGGCGGCGACGGCTTGAATTGAATGTGGACAGTGGAACGGTATTAGTTTTGTGAAAGTTTGTGTGTGAGATGGATGCCAGGCAAGTGATGGAGGTAAGGGATGAGCGTCAACTGTCAGCAGATTGCGAGGCATCGTCTAATGATTGTTGCGAGTACTGCTGAGGTCTTTCGACGTTTAACTACTGTCTTTTCTTCAGCTTCTTCAACATCTCGCTAGGGGCTAGTTGCCACGGGTGCCGTACTTATGCTTGGAAAGCATGATCCTGCTCTTGATCACGGCTATGTTCGTGCTTTCTAAGCTAGAACATAGCACCAGTCGAGCCTTGTGCGATGGGCTAGATGTTATGGTTGTGCGAAAAAGAAATGAACTACGTTCCTGCTAGCCATGCCCAAACTATAGCTGTAGCCATGCCCGCCTCTAAAGTCTTTAAGGCAACGTCTTCGACGCCTGGTGCCCTTTTGTTCCTCTCATCCGGATTGGCTTGGCATGCGAATGCCACAGCTTGGTGGAGGGTTGGACTCCACAACAGCGGAAATGCCGATGACCCGCAGTGTGCCCAGATGCGAGTATTTGCAATGAAACTGATGTTGATTGCCAGAGCAGGTTATGAAAGCACCCATTGCACATCATAGCATTGTGGTAGAAATTCCGTAGAATCGAGTTCAAGATAGTGGAGATGATGGCACCAGCCCACCGGGGAGTGCGCATGCATGAAGATACACAAGCAGCTATGTCACGGAAGGGGAAGATACATAAGAAATCGTGAGAATGAAGCATCTGATGGTCCTATAGAAGTGTGTGGCCAAAACTGTGTAAAGGGCAGAGGAAACGATGTGCTGATGCCTGGCAGGTGGTTTTCAGTGGTTCACAGCTTGAAGATCGTCAACGGCTCGCTATCTTGCGTGTTGGCGCACTCTTGAAGTTTCACTCCAAAGGTGGAACTTGTGATGTACAAGCTGTGGAACGTGGCTTGAACGGGAAGGGAGGAGAAGTGTCTGGCGTATGTTGAGCGTGTGTGCAAGAGAGAGAGAGAGAGAGAGAGAGATAGATAGATAGATAGAGAGAGAGAGAGAGAGAGAGAGAGAGAGAGAGAGAGAGAGAGAGA